TTTTACTTATTTGCATTGCTGTTTTACTCAGTTGCATTGCTCTTTTACTCATTTGCATTGCTGTTTTACTCAGTTGCATTGCTCTTGTACTCATTTCATTGCTCATTTTGCTCTTTTCGTTGTTCATCTCGCTCTTTCCATCGTTCATTTGTTCTTTGTATTATTCATTTACAGTTAAAATCCATGTGATTGCGCTCCTTTAAATGATTGGACGCGAGTTAACTGAGCTGCAATTCTATTACCTTTGTGGCCAAATGAATTGCAAAAATTTCTATTTAAAAAATTAAACATTAGTCGAGCTTGCCAAACCAAATCATCATTTGCAATATCACACAACGTGTCTCATCGTCTGTTTTCATCATCCTATTTCATCCTGCTGTGCCGTGATTTAATAGAAAAGGTCAAATTGTGCCATATTTTCTGACCCTATGGCATTCCGTATTCATGTTCATCCCATACCAAAGGTCACACTAGACTTTTTTGACCCTATGCTATTCCTATTCATCCCTAGGTCATCTTGTACCATATTAAGTCATTCCTATTCATATCCTTATGATCATAATTATTATGCTTATACCTTGGTGTGATCTTTTCCTGTTTCTGTAGCAAAGGTCAAATTGTGCCAGACTGCCCCCAACTACTGGCAGCCCAGCGTAGAAAGGAAACGAATAAAATGAAACTAAGTTAAATGGAAACTAATCGAACAAAACGAAACGAAATGAAATGAAACGATAGAGTAGCACTGCACTGTAGTGAGTCATAATTTTTTAAATAAACGAATTTGAATAGAATTATCAAGCAACGCAACAAAGTTTGTATTTCACTGTCTTTTGAAGGGTTAAAGACGCGGACAACTAACTTGAATTGCCTATTTGATTTTCATATACCCCTTAAACTTCTTTTTTTCAGGGAAGTTTGGAAGTGCACTAAGCACCAAAATTCCATATCAGGAAAAGAAAATGGTCATCAGGGTCGAATGTTTTGCGTATAAATGAGTCCAATGTATGTATATAGGCCTGTGCTGTGCGTGTGGGTCGGCCTGATTAGTGCACTTTGCTCATTATGCAAACATGCTGTAGCAATATAACCTGAAAGTTGACCCCTAATGGGGCGCTTCCGGAACCCTTGGATAGGAAAAATAACGTGCATAGATTTTAGAATTCGTAATATTTTTTCGTAATATTCGTAATATTTGATTTGATTTGATTTGATTTGATTTTAGAATTCGTAATATTTTTCGTTCGGTTACTTCTAAAAAATCCAACTTGGAAAAGAGGCTTTGGGAAATATTTGCTAGTCTATCAATTTATAGAAACTGAAAAATTACTTGACCTAAAAGAGAAATATCCTGCCAAAAATTCAGCAATCACTTCCGAAAATCTAAAAAACATGAAGAACAGTGCAATGAGGCAGTCTTGTACGCAGATGGACATGAACGGTTTGAAATTTTATGGTTGTCAGTCGGTAAAAGCTGAAATAAAAACAGATCAAAGTATTTTTCACCATCTTATCATTTATAAGGTAATAACCTCTAAGCAATATTCTACTTCACTTACGAAAGATTCTAATCTGTCATCTAACCTTTGCTGATAACAACTGCGTGATGTCAACTCAACGCAATCTGGAACCCATACACTGCAGGTAGGTAAATCTTTGCATTGTTGTACGATCTCGTTTCACGTTAGCATGGGAAGCGAAAACAAACGTGCATAAACGTGGAGACCGAGGTACGCATCGCCGGGCGTGAAAGATCAGTAAGAAAATTCGTTTTTTACCCATTTCCAGGTGACTTTTCCTAAATATTAGTTGAAAACAAAGATAAAATGCCAACATAAGTGTTCCAGGGGTGGTTTCAGTTAGGAATTATCGTACGGGAGGGCACTACACTTCAAACTCATTGGAAGCTTCCTTTAATTAAAGTCACGATTATTGAATTTTTCTACTCGAGTTTCCCCAGCAAAATACATAAAAATATATTGCTTTCGGACCTTTACCGTGTACACGTACTCAATGTACTGTGCATTGCTGTACAGTAAATGTAAGCCCAACCATAGCGCACACACCGTGCACAAAAAAATTCGACTGCGTGTACTGACTAAAGACAGTCCACGGGAATTGGTGGCACGTGGCGGTTCTGGAAAAGACAGTCCACACGTTGATGGCGCGTGGCGGTTGTGGAAAAGTAGATCCGGCAGAAGGTCGGACTAGCCACCCACAATGGATGGCGTAATTAGTAGTAGATAAGGACGCCTTCCCAGGGGTATGGATTAACATTGGATTCCCGGTTGCAGAGATAGGGCCAGATTTTTAAATGAGAAATTTGCCTCATGTTTTTCAAAAAATATCGAACGTGATAGGATGGTCCAATGTAAAATCCCCATAGGCGGACTGCGCGAGGGTTCCCGAATCTCACTGCGTGACCTTTTACTTTCCGGCTCTATAAGCTATCTATATTCGCTGATTTCAGCAAAGGTTCCGTTGAGGGAAATAAATAGGGTTAGTTACACAGCGGCTAAAGGCCTTCAGCCGTGTTGCCTTCCTTTATTGCATGATTATATTCATAATATTCCTCACCGTTAACAAGTAGAGAAATGTCAGGGAAAACCCGGCAAAACTGAAAAAATCCCCTCTAAAATGTTGCCTTTACTTCCAATTTCTGAGTCTGTTACTTTGGAGGCCGTTACGTGACAAAAACGAGCAAAACTTTTTGGGGGAAATCGTTTATCGTTATCGTTTGCAAGTTAGCAAAAGGAACTTTGGGTGTTTAAGTTCTAATCGGTACGGAAATGAGGGGCAAAACAACTGAGATTGATGTTGATCGATTACTTTTGGGATCCACCTGCCCGAGTCAAGAGCCATTTTACTGGCTTCTGGCAGTGTAGTGGGATTCGGTGCGCATGCGCACCAACTACGTGAGGGCATGAGCATACGTGCACCCAATACATGTACACAATTATTATTAGACCTTGGCAGGACGTGAGCGATACATACTGGCACATACACCCACATGTACCCACACACACACAAAAGCAATTCCGCTACAATACATTGCCTCTAGTCGAACTTCTGAGCCTGCATGGCGGGTCTGTTTTCACGTGGTTAAGACTGAGCCGACAAGGGTAAGCTGTAGATCAATGTTTTTAAGCAAGCTTGTGTGCAGTTTTGGAATGTTACGTTTTCCTTTCAACTCAATTAGTATCAGTTGATTAAGCCTGTAGAAATAACGATATGAGTTTCTAAACCCATTCCCTAGATTCTACGTACCCAGTAATCTCGTTAATAGTTTCAGGAGGCGTGACCTTTGTATGACCAAGGCATACAGAGAAACCTCGCGAGAAAGGGAATTATGGTATCCCTGAAAAGCCATACAGAATTGCCACCGGGTCCAGTGTGACGACGTCGCATGTACATGCCTCGTCAAAATTCAAAAGTAACTATAATTAAGTAGATTTTGCATTCCAAACCTTGACGTTCTATTACGGGAAACATATTTGCATGTAAATGAAAAAGCACAGTGGGAAGAAACTGCTGTAGTCGATCGAAGTAATCCAAGAAATTAGATGCTAATTTTGTCCATAGAAACTAATCCCAAACCATACCAACCTCTTGCCTAAAAATAGGTACGAGTGTTACCGTCCACTTTAACGTTTGCTTCTTGTTAAGCGCAGTTATACTGCATTTAGCAAGCAATAAGTTTGTTCTGCTTATCAATTCAATGAATTCAATCAAAGGGATGTTAGTTGACGGTTTACAGTTCCAGGTCCAGGGGTGGCAAGGGCTGATGCAGGGGGCAATGGGAGCCGTCCACCTATCCCTCCCCCGCCAAAAAGGCCAACAATATATTTTTTGACAAGAGAGGCGATTTTTTTTTATGTCCAATACAGTTCTTCCCTTGAAAGAGTATGCAGACAAGCCCCAAATGTAGCCTCATTCTTCAGAAACCCATTAAAGGTTATGTAAACAATCCCAATTTGTTGCCACCCCCTAAACAACAGCCTCCCCCCCCCCCGAAGTCCTTTGACGGGATCGGGAGTACTTGATCACAACACGTATTTCCAGTTCATCTTTCGTTGGACTTTTACCTTTCTTTCACACAGCATTAGACTGGTACCCTCGCTACTGCTTCTACCCTCCTGTATTGACATAATTATCATGGCACTAGGGATAGCCGTCAGCGTGGCTTTAGTGGCCGCCTTGGCGTATGTTGCGTACTTCCTTGTCGGTACAGTACGTTCCATCCGCAAGCGGAGAGAAGTTCTTCTTCAATGGCCGGGCCTTCCCGTGCACTGGCTGTATGGAAACCTGCACCAGGTACGAAAAACGTACATGTCTGCAGTATCGCGGCCACTGTCACGAACAGCAACTTACGGAGATTAGTCCGAAGTTATTTCTACAAAGATAAACGTCAGGCAAGCTGTAGGCCTAGTTCGATAAGCTATTTTGTAAAATAATGCTCCACTCTGCTAGTTCCTGAAGGCTGCAGTAAGGTTGGCTATCTCTTCAAAAATGCCTGTGAACACATCCTCCTCGTGGCTTGGCCGAAAAAAATCTATCCTCCCGACAGTTGCGTTACACCAGCTAACAATTTTTAAACCTAATATCATGACACATTAATGCGTTTTCACAGCTAGACGATCTGACCATGCCCAGTGTCCTTAATAACGACGGATTCCGCAACAATATGTCTCACTACAAGCTTGCCGGTGGTATAGTATCGTATTACGTGGGCAGTATTAGGCCCACGTGGCGAGGTCTTCAGTCTGATCTTTCTCGCCAGCCACGCCCGCCACGCCCGCCACGCTTATTAAATCAATCCCTGCGAGTCTTGTTGAATTATTATAACCATCGGTAAACAGTGTAGGCTAAAGGTCAGCGGAAAAAATGATACCCTTTGAAAGAATCATTAACGGTTTGAAATGTCTTGATCACACCAAAGCTTCAAGCCCCCGGACCTGTGTACAAGTTCCGAGCTAACCGTAAGTAATTAAACACTCATTCTGACAGATCTTTTTGGTAATAAAACATAATTATTTTATGCTCTGATTTCCCGATTGTGCAGCATCCGTTGACGAATCCAAAAATTCGAACAGAGTCGCCGGAGGAGGGCTTCGCCTTCCACTGTGCAATGACGGAAAAGTTCCCCCAGGGTTATCGCTTATTTTACGGTCCGACAAGGGGGGAGATCCTCGCAAACCACCCGGACATTTTTAGGCCTATAATGAAAGGACGAGGTGAGCTCAGACAAGATCGAGTTTGTACGGTTGTATCCACCGTTTTCAGTGTTGGGCCAAAGCCCCAAGTTGGCGAAAAAAATTTATGCTGGACATTGCCTTTTGTTTCCTGAGGTGTTCAAACCTAAAGGTTTGGGAGTAGAAGATAAAATGTCGGGTTTATAGAGAGGCTGACCTCGACGAGAAAACGTATGAATTGGGAAGATTTTATTTTTCTCGAGCAAGAGTCATTCCTAAAATTACCGCTGTGCGTTTCTGGCGTATAGTCAAAGTGAAATATATAATAGGTTTACATGTATTTTTTTGTTTTCTTCAAAATCCTATTTAAGTAAGTCCTAATATTGAAGTGCAGAGGAGTATGTTTTTAACAAATCTTGGTGCAAATTACAATTGCATTTCCAGACCCGAAGCCTCTAATGCAGGGCCAGCCGTCCTACAACTTCATGCGGCCCTGGCTTGGGGACGGACTGCTCCTGGCTAAGGGGGATACCTGGGTCCGTAATCGTCGCCTCCTCACCCCAGCATTCCACTTCGATGTCCTCAAACCCTACATACAAGTCTACAATGAGGCAGTCGATGTGTTTATGGTTTGTGTGATTTTAAGACTCCATTTTAACTGTACCATAATTTGAATCAAGAGTCCCAAGTAAGGCATATCTCATCTACACAGCTTTCATTTACTTCAGATTACATAAATAACTTTCTTATTTTGACTAGCGGACTCATTCTTTCCTCTTTTCCCCAAGCTGCATCATTATTTACCTTCCATAAAATTTCCCCCTTCTCATGTGATCTTTTGTTTTTCTACAATGGAGCCAAAATCCTATCCTTAGACTTGTTCATCCTCCGGCCTCGGTTTCAGACTTCCCTACTCCTTCCTCGTGATCTGTTGTGGCAATTTCAGCGTGTAATGACCACTCAGTTTGGACCTTTGATCTCAATTTAGGCCAAGTTGGACAAGTGTGTTAGGGGCGGCGCTAGTTTTGTGGTGACCAAGAACGTCAGCCTGCTAACCCTAGACATTCTCCTTCGATGTGCCTTCTCATACGAGTCCGATTGCCAAGTCCAAGGGTACGTAATGTACTTAACATCCCTGAACTCTGCAAACGCTGGTATCGTGAAATTCAATTCCATTTTTTGTTCCCATGCATTAATTATTTCAATTTTTTAATTGGGTTATGAAATTTGAACGACTGCCTTTTTTTAATCCTTGGGTAGGGATGGGAGAACTATTTGAGCAGGATTTTTTCCCTTCTCTCCTCCGTGCACATACTAATGTTAAAGGTTTGGAAGAATGTGTACAGTGCTCAACTGATTTGGAAATTCAAGGAGCTTCTGTTTGAATCGAGAGACCAAGCTAATAGTTATGTCAATTTGCTAAGGATTGTATTCCCTTCATTCCAAACTGCAACCATCCATTCTTGGTACGCGTACATTGTAAAGCACCTAAGGGCGATTATACTACATACCGGTAAGCGTTTTGTCTTCTTACAGTGATGAGCACCCTTACGTGAAGGCCACAATGGAGTTATCGAGAATTGTGATAGACAGAATGTTGTAAGTAAGAAGTTAAGGGAGATTTGGTGTTAAAGTTATTAGTAAAGCCTCGACAAAGTGTTTTTTGCAACCACAAGATTAGCTGTCATTTCACCATTGGTCGATGTTTGTCTCCACAGTTCGATGCTTCTTTACTTCGATTTGCCGTTCAAGCTATCTTCAATGGGGCGCCGGTTCAAAAAGAGTTGCGACTTCGTTCATCAAGTGGCAGACGAGGTCATAAAACGGCGTCGGGCACATTTGGTAATGTTCACGTACGATATTTAAAAGTCCAAAAAGATGAGATTTTTTGCCATTTTGTTGTTTGGTTTGTTTTTTTTAAATTTAAGTGTTAATTCGCTCCCCGGCTGCCTGTATTTGACCATTGCATAGTTTTGTTTTACAACTGAAGTTTTTTTAATCAGGAGGCAAAGAAGCACAATCCTGACGCCGGCTCAGACCGTAAGTACCTTGATTTCTTGGACATCTTGTTGTCTGCTCGAGATGAAGACGATAAAGGAATGACAGACATGGAGATCCGCAACGAGGTAGACACCTTCCTCTTCGAGGGTCACGACACCACGGCCAGTGGTCTGACATGGATGCTGTATGCTATGGCAACGCATCCCGAACATCAGAGGAAGGTCCAGGAGGAGATTGATGAAGTGATGTCGGGCAGGGAATCGGAAGATGTTGGCTGGTAAGAAAAGGTTAACATTGCTGAAATCATCAGTAAGCTACCACTTCAGTGCTTATATGATCACTTTTCTATGGAGCCAGTAGTGGTGGGGGGACGATCCGCGAAGCATCGTAGGGAAACAGCACATACATAAGCAACATACACTTTCTGAGGTTAGTTCACGATGAATCGATCATAATGTATAAGAATATTTGTTGCGGGTCCATTCTTTTCTAAGGGATGATCTTGGAAAGCTCAAGTACATGGTACAGTGCCTTAAGGAGTCGATGAGGATGTACCCTCCTGTCCCTTTCATCATGAGGGTTCTTGAGAGGGACGTCGAAATCGATGGCAAGATCCTCCCAGCTGGAACCAACTTGGATATGGCCATCTATTGCCTTCACCACAATCCTCAAGTGTGGACAGATCATATGGTAATGGCAAAGCACGCATGTTGTTTCATGTATAGCTTCCAGAGCAGGCAAAGATGTTTAATCAACAACATCATCAATATATCATCATTATTGTCAGACATTGCTATCGTCATCGTCATCATGTAGGCAACAAATCGTCACCCTTTTAAGAATAAATGGTGGTGCGCTATAGTTTGCACTACACTGATGCATCCAGTGTGTTGACTTGCGGCTGTGGCAAATTTTTAGGGAGGCTGCACATGCAGATTCATAGCCTCTTCCCTGTCCTGGAGCTAAAGTAATCTTGACAATCGCAAGATGCATCTATAAAGTCAGGTCATACCGCCCCCAGTACCGTCTTGCTCAGTATCGGAGGATGAATAACGACAAGTGTGCACCTTTACTTTGCTTGTGACTTGGGACTGGATGATTTGCAATACATGTGTTTCCAAGAGTTTGCAACGCGTTGGCCAATCACAATGCACGAAATGTTTCGGCCCGATGTGTTTGGAAATGGTTGACAAATTTCGCGCGTTATGATTGGCCAACGCACTGCAAACTCTTGAGGTGCACTATTGTGAATTGTCCGTATTTGTTCACAACTGACCTCCAACTATCTGCACTTTGGAACTGTTTAACCATTAAAAGCAATCTTAATTGGTATTACTTTATAAATTCTAACCGTTGTTGAGAAGATATACTTTACATCCTGAACGTCAATGTCCAACAGCTTAATAACTTTTAGTTCTCTTAGCTTTGTTTTGTATTTTTGGTCATATTCGCAAACGTACAGCAAGGAAGTGCGGTGTTATGATTCGTTGACATTCCTGTCCATCGAAGCCACAAACCAGAAACTCTTCTCAGCAAAGTCTTGTCTGATGCAAATATGAGTAAAGAAGCAATACGTGTCAGACACGGGCTTCCCGAGATAAGGCTAGGTGTATTGTCTGCGGCGTCTCAGTGTATTTCCAATGGAGTGAAGACTAGGACTTAGCTCTATAGACCAAAGATCGTCTGGCGCCGCCACGCAAAGATACGATCTTTTCTCCAGACAGCAGATTTGGATGCAGCCCAAGAATCTTCTTCTCACGGACGTTACAATTCATATCATTACAATCGTCATCACATTCTCTGCTAAGCGTCTCCGTGAAAATATAGTAGATCATTCACTTTATTGTGCTCATTTTTGTGACCCATAACTCCATTTATTTGAAATATGAAAAGGAATTTCATTTCGACACTCAAAATGTTTAGCTTATGAATTTTGAAATATAACCACGGTGTTGGGCATCTTTGCAATATATATCGCGGTGTGGCGTTTGGTCCACGCACGCAAAACGGTGTTTGTTCGTCATTATCTCTGTCTTGTTGTGTTGTTCGCTGTTCGTTTCAACAGACCTTTGACCCCGACCGATTCTCTCCGGACAACATCCAGAAAATCGACCCCTTCTCATATCTTCCATTTGCTGCCGGCCCAAGGTAAACACAACATTTCATGAACTAAAAAGTAAAGAGGCTTTCAATTGAAGAAAAAAAACACTGAGGTAAGAGTAGTATGCTTTTCAATTCAAGAAACAACCGTAACTTAAAGTTGCATGTTAAGAACTAATAGCGACCTCTTCTACTGATATACTTTGTCCATTTTTCCCAGATGGCTTGACTGTGCAGAGAGTATAAGTAGCGTATCCAGCAGGAGGGCGTGGGACAGGGGGCACTCCCCCCCCCCTCCGACGGATCTTTTAATAAGGCATTTTTCCCCCAACCTCATGTTGAAAGAGCCCGAATTCGCATTCGCTATTGAATTTGCCCCCCTGACACCAAAAGCTGGATACGGCGCTGGAGAGGATATTTCTTCCACAATTGATCGTAAATTTAATACAATAATTTTAAATTGAGTGAAACCTCATAACTTTCCAGGTTCAATATTCTGAATTTGGTTTATTATTTCCGGCAGGAACTGTATTGGACAGAATTTTGCCCTGAACGAGGAGAAGGTGATCCTTGTTCGTCTGCTGAGGAGATACACTATCCAGCTGGACCCGAGCCACCCGGTCAAATTCTCTGGTGAGATGATCCTGAAAGCTCACAATGACGTCAAGATTTTCCTTTCACCACGTGTGATTCAGGAATAATGATATTGATGATCGCCTGATTTGTCCTGGTGACTTTTCCTGTTAAATAACCAACTTTAAAGAATGTTGCACTCAGTTTTTTGGTTAAATACACATCGATTTAACATTACAATATGCAATTGCTCTTTCATTTATATGGAGTCAGACAATATGCTACATATTGGCTTATAATTAGTTTTGGTTGTTGGTGTTTGTATATGTGTTTAGTTGTACTGGAAACTTTTAAGATTAACGCAACAAATTGTAAATTTTCTGTCTTCTTAACGGATAAAAAGCTGACGATTCATCAACAAAACAGAAATTCGCATTTATATTTGATCTAATTCGATCTTTTTGCGTTGCATTCATGGATAAACATAAACATTCTAATCTTTAGTTAAAAAGATATTAAGCCTGTACAAAGTTTGTTCACACCGACGACATTAACCTCTTTCTGGTCAGACAGGTGAACTCTTACCTATCTATGATACCTGAGAAAAAAATCACCTTTTATCATTTTTGATCAAGAGTTCGCAATGGTACCTGACAACGTTTGTTGTTGGACAACAGGCTTGCTCGATTGTGTCACGTGGACTTCATGCTGCGTGTCACGCGATTGGTAATGTGGATGGTGTCCTATTGTCAACACATCGCGTAACGACGGCACAACAACAGCACGAGGGCTACTTGCGTCGGGCCGGGCCGTATAGACCTCTATCATGGGGCAGCCATCTTGGTTTTTTAGCATTCAAACCAATGTAACCAAACTGAGGCTGGAAGGGGATATAGTCTGTTCCCTTTTATCAGTAATATTGTGAAGTTGTATTACTGTTGCCCATAGGGAACAAGACAAACATGGCAACATCATAATAAAGGTCTATAGAGTGCTACCATGTAAATCGGCCAGAAGTATGTCTGCCAAGGTCATTTACAAGAGTTATATACTCAAAATATTCTATATTAGAGGGCCCTTGGTGCCAAATTAAGAAATTGTAGAAATATGGCACTGAACCTCTGGCCTGGACTTAAGGCTTCTAATTCTGAGCAATTTGGTGTAATCGGGTCCGAAAGTGGCACGATTTAGCCGTTTGCAGAGGGATGGCTTTTCAAAATGGCAATTTTTATGGGCAGGGACATTTCCTTGATTTTAGGGGTGGTCTTCTTCGAGTGAAATTTTTATTGATCAAACCCCCCCCAAAAAAAAAATTGAAGGAAAATGAAACGGAACATAACGAATGTCGTTTTTCATTGCAACCAGAAGAGTTGTACTTTAAAGTAATTGTGAAGTATGGGGTCTATCATTGCTGTCTATGGGAATTTATTTGCTGCGGTGATATAGCTCTTCCTCTCCCGCTTTCGGCGCACAGTGCCCGACCGCACATAGTGCATCCTGTCGTAGCGTCGACCCGTCATGTTATTCAAGCCACTTTGGGGCTCGAGGTTGAGTCATTAATGGACGTGTCTCAGTCATTTACGCTACAAACATGAAGAAAATCGAGTCGAGGCCAGTCAGAGGCAGTCGTATTGTAATAATGGTCGAGTTGAGTCAAATTCACGTTCGAGTCAATTCAAGCCACTTTTTTATATGTCTATAAATACCAACGGACGGAAAAGAGAGCGCTTTAGGATTTGGCACAAATGTGAAAGAACATACGGCACCGGTTCAAGAATGAGAATCCAAAGCAATAAAACATGCCCCATGAAGTTCATGATAGCCAACAGACGACTTGGACGAGCTCTGCATGGATCTTCGTGTACGTAAACTTAAAAGCATGAAGCAAGGCTTTCAATTAATATGAGGGAAGAGTGACTGTTTGAAACCATTTCACTTCCAATGATCTATCTCATTGAAGCTTTTCATGGTGAAGGTGTGGACGGACTCCTACAGAGCATATTGTCCGAAACGTTGAGTACCCCCCGGCTCTTTCGAGAACCCCCGTGACATACTCACAAAAGAGATATCCTAGCTTGGTGCTACCCGGCGTAAACGTTACTTCATTTCGTTTGCCTGTCTCCTAAGCAGTGTCGTAACTATAAGGGGTAGCAGAAGTTTGCGTCTCTGTGTTTTGGAAGGTGCAAACTTATTTACAAGCCACGGTTAATTTGCTTTCAGTTTTTTCTTAAAACAGTGTGTGCACACCAAGGGCCTCCTCAGAAATCTCACCCGAATTACTCTCTAAATGCAAAAGAGTGCAAACCTCACCATCCAAATGAGTGAGTCCCCTCGTATAAACATTCTAAACGGGAGGAGACCACTTCAAAAAGAGAGAAGACCACTCTGAAAGAATGAAAATCAATTTGAAAAAGGAACCACTGGCAAAAGACAATCCGCTTTCGAGCTGTCTGTACAATAATTATTGCTCCTTGAGAGAGTGGAAATTTTACTCTTTTGGAGTGATTTCCACTCGTTTGATGGATGTTTTCACTCTTCTGGAGTGGTTTCCCGGGATTTTTGGTTAAGAGGAGATTTCTGCACATTTGCAGACACTGTAGGACCCCTCCCCATCTCCAAAATATAAACTCTGAGAAACTTGTTGCTCTCAAAAACTTCCCCCTTTCCCCCCACACTGAAAAGGTTAAAAATTGTGATAAGCAGAACACAGAAAATAAGTAAGCTAAAAAAGTTGCTCCCCAAATAAAAAAAAATAGAACTTCATTCTGACAAAATTTGGGCTGTAAGAGTCTTGAGAGCATGGGGAACGGTTTGGGATACTGGCGAAGCTGAGTTGGGAAGATTTTTGCATGACTTGGTCACATCAATACCGCCCTCTATACCAAGCTGCATAAAATAAGGAGGGTCACCGGTTCTGCAACCAGCACGATTCTACAAAGCTCAGACTCCTTGGCTGAGTTCGGTCGGCTTTTTCCTGTTTGTTCACGAACAGCTTGATTTGTTGTTCGTGGGTCGGTCGCTCGAACGCTGGGAATGTACAACTGGTTATTAACGTTTAGTAGTAGTTATTTGTGGCAAGCGACATGCAACTTGGCAGCGTCCTGGTGCATTCTTCGAGAGTTAATGTTGGATAACTGGGCTAACTTCTTTTCCATTTAAAAAAAATCATGGAAAATTATTACTGTTAATTTTGCGAAAACTTTCCATTGTCTTCGGCTTTGTAAAGCCATATCGGTACTTTTTGCGGCTGTTCAAAATCAAATCTCACGAGTTTTTCTGTGTTTTCGTGTAAAATCTTTACGAGGAGGTGGTGTGTGATCCTGCTCCGAGAACAGTGTTCTTGGGTCGTGTTCCCGCCGTTTGCGCGCGAGAACACGAAACCCGTGTCAAGAACGGACCGCTCGAACTCGACAACCCTTGAGTAACCTTAGTGACACGTGCGAACCACATTGAATATTATTCATGCGATTGGGGAGGTGGCGTATAGAACCTAATATAGCCTCTTCCGCAGGCCTCCATCCCAAATTACGGCTGTGACTGGCATTCGCCCCTACAAAAGGCAGTCCCGGTGGATGTAGCCCGCTTCCAACAGACTCTTGTGTAAACAGTAATGTAATCAATCGAGATGAAAACCCAACAAAATTGTCATTTTTGTTGGCCTTGTTTAATATCCATTCATCCGGTTTTTTTTTGGTTTTTTTTTGGTGGGGGCACCTGAGGGGGGCATTGTACGGGGCAGCTTTTGGAGGTCGGAAGGAATGTGTGGAAATGTTTCTTCTGACTAGAGGCCTCTGGGAGCTGAGGGTTTTAAGTAAAGTCGAATTTCATCTGGGTTGTTTCAATTAGAAGCAGTTGCGTTGCCACGGGGGGAGGGGCTTGGGGAACGTTCCCCCACAAATTCCTGGTGCCCCCCCCCCACGTGCCCCTACTAACAAAAACGTGCCCCCCAAAAACACAACACTGAAAGTTGGTCCCCTCCCCCGGTAAGATGCTNCCCCCAAAAAACACAACACTGAAAGTTGGTCCCCTCCCCCGGTAAGATGCTGGTGCCCCTTTCTGACCCCCGCCAGTAAAATCCTAGCTACGCCACTGTTTAGAAGTGTAGGCCTATAATATCGTATGGCTTAGCCCGACGTTGAATGGACACAAATTTTGAACATGCAACTGTAGGTGAATGTATGCATGACTAATAACTAAAGGCAGATCTCCTGCAATTCTAGTGTAAAATGAGACGATTCTGAATTAGTGATGGCACTTTATTGATGTATGTCACCCCCTTGTCCCGAAGCTGACTCCGCCCTCCTTTGATGAGTTCCCGCGCAGTCATCACACGGGGTTTTTTTTCTCTGATCAAACGAATCTGGAAACTATCCGACAATGTGCGGTGCTGCAAGCCGCAGTGTGGCGCGCTACCAGACTGATAGCAGAATCAATATGGCCGCATGAAAACATGAAATCACATGTAAGAGGCGTGCTGAGCTGACTTGCCACGTATTGCGTCAGAAACGTCTCGGAACTTAAATTTTCGGTACGTTTTCAACTTAACATTTTGAAGAGTATTAAAGCTTCTACCTATACGAATTGTGATACATCGCCTTTATACTTTATTTGTGAGAAACTCCAAACAATAAGGTAGGTTTTGGCCTAACGTTACGCCTACAATCATGACAATGTAACATGACAATGTAACGTTACTAGTTCGATATGTTTGCTCGTCAGCAAACGTCACGGCGCCAGCCTAGCCAAACGTTACATGTGATGTGATTTAAATTAATATTATATTGACATGGTCAGTAATTGTTGATGTGCTAACGCGGCATACTTTGATTTGTCGCCTTCAGCATGTCTAGTACCTAAGCTAAAGCAATGTTTTACTTCATATTTCACACACAGTGTGTGTGAAATTTTATTAATATTATTATCATAATCATGATTACTTATGTTGAGTTTAACAAAAACATGTTTAATTAGTTACGTAGAGGCTGCAATGTATGCTTGGAAAGACTTCCATATGCAGACACCACTTTCAGACTTTACACCCCGTATAAAACCCTTTGAGTTTGGGACTAGTCTCAGTCTGAAAATTCTTTTTCTATGTAAATGACTTTTTCCTCCTTAATTGAACTTTTCTGGACATGTTTTTGCTTTCTGATAGCCAATAGGCCCCATAAGTAGTTAGTAGGGCGTAGGTCACTGTAATATGGAATTCCATTAGGCCCCTACTGCCATTTTACGCATCGCATCATCACACTGTCGCATCGTCGTGCCAATTGCGTCGTTGTGCCGTCGCATTTGCAATCTTTAGGCCTGTTCATTTTTTTAGCTAGAGAGGGCATGTACTGTCATGTACATGTAGGAACCACTTATCTGATCTATATCATACAATAATTATTTAACAATCCGAGTGGCATTTCCAACAGCCTATCTCTCAAGGCATTTTTAACTCGGGGACAGTTTCATGTTTTGTTGATGAGGACACACTTTTTTATTTCTTGGTCCTCGAGCCGTCAATGAGAAGCCTTGAAAAAAAATTTTTGGTACATTTCCTTGGACACACTTCTCTGAAAAATTGATGAAATAGATTTAAAATGAAATGTTTATTTTCATTCCGACCACTGCTAAAGCTGTGCCACCAATGTTTATTTTTGATCTTTCCTTTCATTTCCAAACTACATGTAACTTTTTTCTTTTTTTCTTCCTCCCCTCTTAAATGTGGCAATTGATGTCTTGAGGAATGAAAAAAATTTTTTATTTTTTGCTCTCCACTCTACATGTTTTTGCCTAAAAGCTCGAGGACCGAGGAATAAAAAAGTCTGGCCTGAGGAACATTCCTCTCAAACTCTTGTGGAAGCAATTTCATTCAGTACCTGCAATGCACACCATTTCAAATCTTCAGAATGCCACAAATTTCAGAATACTGGTAGGTGTAACATGCTCCAAAATAATGACAGACCAGCTCATCTCCTGACAATTATGTCAAGGTGAATGGTTAAATCATATGCAAATAAGGAAAAATCTTTGAACGTGAAGTGGGGAAAGACATGACAAACTAAGTCATGAAATCGAAGTAAGGGACTGCTGAGGAACTGTTCCATGAGTCACAGAATGAAAAAGTGGCATAATGTACATGTACATTAATAGAAAAGGCTTTTTAGTTTGGAGAGGGGAACATAATGACACCATATCAACTGTCGACAGCACTGTTCCTTCTGTAACATGGCATGAGGATGCGATGGCAGGATGATGTGAGGGCAAAACAATGCGACAGCACAACAATGCAATGGCATGACAATGCGACAACACGACAATGCAACGGCACAACGATGTGATGACACGACGCAACTATGCAGTGGCATGATGCGACTATGCGATGGCACAACACGATGATGCAATGGCAAAACAATGCGACAACACGACAATGCGACGGCACAACGATGTGATGGCACAACTATGCGTTGGCATGATGATGCGATGGCAAAACAATGCGACAGCACGACAGTGCGACAATGCAGTGGCATGACAATGCGATGGCACAACGCTGTGATGGCACGACTATGCGTTGGCATGATGATGCGATGGCAAAACAATGCGACAGCACAACAGTGCGACAGTGCAGTGGCATGACAATGCGACTATGCAATGGCACAACGATGTGATGACACGACGCAACTATGCAATGGCATGATGCGACTATGCGATGGCACAACACGACGATGCAATGGCAAAACAATGCGACAACACGACAATGCGACGGCACAACGATGTGATGGCACAACTATGCGTTGGCATGATGATGCGATGGCAAAACAATGCGACAGCACGACAGTGCGACAATGCAACGGCACAACGATGTGATGGCACAACGATGTGATGGCACAACTATGCGAATGCATGATGATGCGATGGCAAAACAATGCGACAGCACGACAGTGCGACAGTGCAGTGGCATGACAATGCGACTATGCAATGGCATGACGCGACTTTGCAATGGCACAACACAACGATGCGACGGCATGATGATGCAATGGCACAACGATGCGAGAGTGTGATGATGCAACGTAGTGTTGGACTCTTTTCCCCATGAAAAAAGAATAAACAAATGTGCCATAGGTTTCAAAAGGAAAAGGGAATTTTTAATCCCGGTATTCAATTAAACATTGATTAAAGTAACATAAATTGACATTGATTAAAGTGTGACTTTCTTGCATATTTAAAAATGATATTTATTTTTCATGTATTTGACTGTCACACATTGCTTTTTTTTTTTAAAAACAGTCGCTCAACCAATACCAAAGGCACGTAATTGATCAATCATGATTGTATGCGTGTGTGACACAGACTTCACAATGTTGAACTGGTCTTGTTTTATGCACCAGCCTGGGAAACTAACAAAAGTGCAGTGCAGGCCAAAAGTATGGGGCGCCATCAGGGCCATAATTAATATTTTACAAAACGAATGCTCCAAATAAAAAAAAGCTCAAAGTTTAAAAACAAACGAAAGAAAAGGTCCATAAATAAAGGACATCGATAAAGTGAAAAAGATAAATTAAAAACAAATGACAGAAAAATGAAGCAGAGTTCTGAATCCTGATTTGCAAACAGCATTTGCGAACTAAACGATGCAAACCTCAAACGATCAGAAAAAAGGAAAGGACAAAATAAAAGAATAAAAGCACAGAAATAAATAATAAAAGCACAAAACCAAAGGATCTAAAGAAAAAAAACGATCAATGGACAGAGTCAAACGATCAAAGGAAAAAACAAAATGAACTAAATTAAAGCGAACGTTGAGGGCGGCAATTGCTGGCGCTATGATGACGGTGAGCGTAAATCCGATCTCGAATCCAGCATGTCAAACACACACTAGTAACTGCTTTCCTGTGTGATTCACACACACCTAAGGTAAGGTACTGTACGTATGCTCATAGCTCAGGTTTGCTCGTGGAATTTGCCAAGACTTGATTTGGTTCAGCTCCAGGAAGTACATGTACACATGTAGTAGCGGCTGTGCGAAGAACTTTCTAGCAGGGCGTGTGAGCTAGTTACATGTTATTTTAAATAAAATCCAAATCCAGCCTTGGGAGTACTCCACAGGTTACATTGTGGTGATTTTATACACTATCCGATGCACGTACATGTACCTTAAACCACAACAACCGACTGCTAGGAGTTCTTTCCCGTCATT